CGTCCAACAGACGTTGGATCAACTGTTCAATTACCGATCGACCCAACAGGTGCAGCTAATTACGCAAACCACCGATGATGCAGCGGACGTTCGCGCAAATGATCACGACGATCAGTGAGTGAGAAACGTCTCGAAAAAGTGGAAACGACCAGAAAAAAAGGCATTTTCGCTGCAGCCTACTGGTCTAGAATAACCTCGGCCACTAACTTTCTAGTACAACTCGACAGGTTGGCGTGAAGCATTACGCGAGGATTATAACGAATGCAACGTCGGCATTACGCGAACGATAATACATCGATAACGGGAGGGGCGAGAAATCGAAAAGGATCGGTGCTTTCTATCGATGCATCTTGATGCATAACGCCGCCTCGTGTGCACCAGGAAATTACGACACCGTTTTTCCGTTTGTTCGTGCGTTCTGTTATGTGCCGCGCGATAATCTAACGTTAGATTCGTATTGTTGACTACGCGGAAGTAATCACGTGACTTCCTATCCCGCGTTTTCTCATCGCGCATCGCAGCACCGTTCCCTGCTCTTGAATTCCTTCGGATCGAGAATTGTGAAAACTTTAGACTTTGACCATCCTTCGCGACTTTTGATCTTCTCAATTTTGTTTCGGAAAGTGAGCGATTTGTAAATGATGATTTTTCAGTGAAATCAATTTTTCTGATCGATGCTCCGTAATTTGTGATAAATCGATCAAACAGATTTGTACCAATTATATTAACAAAAATTGAAAATTTAGTTAATTCATGATACAATATTTGAAATATCATTTTAAAATAAAGAGATTAACTTTCGATCCCTCAGATGTGAAACCAATTAATCGGGCAATTATTTTCATTTTACGTTTGTAAACTTTAACTTCTTAAGGTCTTGTTTTTGTTAATTTCAAATTTACGCGTTCTTCAGTTTTAAATTTAACATTCGAGTTTGACATTCAATAAACTAGTTACATGACACGTGCAACATGGATAATTATCCCAATTGTAAATGTAGCGTTATTTTAGACGTAAAGTACCGAGTATTCAATCTAGAGTCAAAGAAAGTTCGAAATTTGAAATTTCACAGGATCGCGGTTTGCTTTCTCTTTCGAATCGACTCGATATTACAAGACGAGGAAATTGAGGTCATCCCGTACGCGCTGACGCTTCCAAGAAAATTCTGCTCGAGGAACGTAGACCGCGCTAAAACGAAATAAAGACTCCCTCGCGTTCAAGAATGGATTTTCGATCTTTTGAAATTTTTCAATCGATAATTTCGTTCGCGAGACTTTTGCAAAACAGTTTACATCTCGTCTCGCGCTGCGTCACTACTTTTCCCTGCCTTGTTGCATCGAAAAACTGAAGAAACGAGAACCTGACTCTAATGAAATCCTTGCTTTCAAATTATACCGAAACGTGTACTGCAATCAAGGAACACTGAACGCGTAATCACGTAAATCAGAGTGGAACGTTGGATAATAGAGACATTTAACGGCAAGACGTTAGTATTGTTGGGATTACCGATTCGCTATAATTAATATCCTCTTGTGAACAGTAGAGTGAATCAACTGCGATATGAGCGAGCTAGTGAAACCCCGAAGGCGATCTCATTTTTCCACAGCGAGAAAAACAGTGTGTACAATTACGACAGAGCGGCGGAAGATTATCTCGCAACGAATTACTCTCTTTCTCTCTCTCTCTCTCTCTCTCTCTAATCTCTGCGTCGCGAGAGATTCCTCCAGGTCCTCAGGTGATCGCCGTATCAAAACGTTGACCGTAACGCAGCGTTTCCTTTTTTTTTTTTCTCCTCCTCCTCTCCCCACCTGTTCGCCGTTAAGAAACCGAGGAAAATTGTCGCTAAGTAAACGACTGCCGTAAATGTACCTGTCGCGAAGTGGCTTTGAGAGAAACGTGGTTGCGAAACGCGGCCGTTACTTACGTAGTTCTACACAAGGCCTTCTTTTTTCCTGCGTCAAACGTTCTACCTTTGATTCGTTTCCACAATACGTGCGAGCGTGTGTGTTGCAGAATAATTAAATTAATTAAAAAAAATTACAACCCTCGGTATTCGGCGTGATATTTTTAGTCTCTCTCTCTCTCTCTCTCTCTCTCTCTCTCTCTCTCTCGTTTTCGCGGTAAAATGAAACGATCCTTTCGAGATTTCTAGATGTTACTTTTTTACGCCACGGCTGCTTAAAGTATCCGCAACCTTGGATCATTATCGTTATTACCGTTTCATTACGTAAGATAAGTGGCACAGGACGAAACTGCCGGGGAAGGAGCAAGAGCTACGAGCAAAAGTCACGTTTCTGTAATTTGTTTGGAAAGAGCTCGATTGGAAAGAGTTCTCTACGAAGAAACAAGGAAAGTAGCACGATAGAATGTTGATAATAATTAACGACAGAATAAAATAAAACGATTCCGACGCAGTTTATTTCTTTCTCTTTCTTCTTTTTTTTTTTTTTTTCTTCAGTTGACAACTGGTCTCTGTTGTGCATTTTATGTTAATTGGAGAAAACAAGAGTAAGTAACAAAAGCAAGAAAGAGTTTTATATTAATTGTAAGGAGTAAGTTCAAAAAAGAGTTTTATTTTAGTTGTAAGAAGAAAAAAAAAAGAATTGGTAACAAATTAGTTCATCTGGAGCTGTAAATAAACTCTGGCGGAGAGAAAGAAAGTGGAGCATCGGAGCATCGTATATTGGATATTCTCGAGCGACTGTTCTCATCCCGAACCGATATCGAACCGATCTGCAAGCCGATTCAATGAACAGTTTACTTGTGCGTATTAATATCTCTGCGAGGCTCGTGCACTTCAACGTGGACGCAGAACGATCGTAACGGCAGAGACCTCGATTTTGTCCGAACAATTTGACGCTGAATGCATAGTGAGAATCGGCAATTCGCGTATTCACAAGATGAACAATATTTTCGTTACACGAAAACTCGTACGATCGCTTGAAACATGAAATCAACTATTGCATATATTTATGCTGTAATACGAATCGCCCGCTTAGAATGTCTAGATCGACAATCGATTAGTGTCTACCTCCAGAGACAATTGTAATATTCTGGGAATCGAGAATGTTCGTGCACTTTCTTTTTCACCGCGACTGTGTACACACGTGCCTAAGTATTTCTGTAATAAATCTAGTTATATTCTACGAACTCTCCGAGTTATTCTTATCTATCCAATATTTCTACATTTCTACACGTGAGTCCGTGTAGTTCGTGTTTGCACCTTCTGTATTTTCGATTTACGTTCAACGCCTGTGAATAATGATATTAGTGATATTTCACGCGCAACGTGACAGATTGAAATAAGAATTTGCATTAATAGGTTGGACGTCTTGTTAGACCTGGGTGACGGCTGTGTTAATCGATTCTCGCTCGGGCATTCAACGTGTTGAAGTAAAAGCTGGAATCTTTTAAATAAACCCCTTAACGAACGACTATACATATATATATATCGACAAAAAATCTGCTCGCTGCTGCGGGCGATCAATGAAAATAATTCTGGACGGCAGGTATTTCCGGATGGCTGGCGCGATCGAGCCACGACCAAAGCCACGAACGAACCAGTCATGTTCGCGCGTTGATCGAGGCAATAGGCGAAATCCCTAGGGACACACCGAGCTGGAGTGAATCCGTGATTGCTCGGCGGTCTGTTGCAAGGAGACGCGCGCTCAATTCAGCGCGCCTCTCGGCCTGTAATTTGGCGAGATAGGCCGCGTGCGACCACACGCGCATCGGAAACGCCGCGCAGCTCACGTACGTACGTCGTTGGAGACGCACGTGCAAACGCGAGAGCAGAAAACTCTGCGTGAAAACAGACAGACAGACAGATAGATAGATAGATAGATAGAGAAATAGAGAGCGTCGTCTACGTAAGAAAAGTTGTCAAGGATGAAGAAAAAGATGCGGGCGAACAGAGGAGGAGGACCGGTTTGCAACTAGAAGCAACAACAAGTTGCTCCCCTGCAAGTTGCCGTAATATCGTTTTATCGGATCTACCGTTATGTCGATCCGTTCTGCATCGACAGCGTATACGTGGTACGATTCTCTTCTCTCGGCTTCTCGTTCGACAGCGACGTTCTGTGCGCCATGTTACTCGCATGGCAACACCGGAAACCTTGCTCGGAGGGCCACATGGGACCACTGTCTACGTCATCGATCGATGCCAGTCAACTGGCCGATCCAAACTGGTCGACCAGAGAGAGAAAGAGAGAGAGAGAGAGAGAGAGAGAGAGAGAGAGGTGATCTAACTGTAAATCTAACGCTTTTCGCTCGGCAACTTGTCGTTGTCGTCGTCGACGACGACACACGAGTCAACTGCATCACGCGGATCGCGTAAATAGATAGCTACCGAGCTCTGCTCGCCATTCGATACCGTTCGATTCCGTCGTGCTGGAACGCCTCGCGCTGTCAGCCGCTGATTTGCATAACAAATCGCGAGTCGAGTCGTTCACCAGGCCTGCTAGTCAATGCAGACTGAAGGGAGTCGATATTTAAAGCACGTCGACGGGGACACCAACCGTTTCACCTTACATTCCAGCGCCTTCGACGCGATTTTTACCCGAGTTTAAGCGACCGTTCGATCACGAAAACCAACGAATCTAGATCAACGACAATTTGCCGATTTTTCCCGATGACTCGTCTCTCTGATCTGTTCTTCGTCTTTGGATGAGAAAGTCTGTCGAGCGACTCCAAATTAGCACCGTTCCCTGTCGCGAGTCCTACACCGGAAGCTGTTGCGTTTCTATTTCTGTTTCTCTCACGGAAGAACGTTCCCTCTTGGGAAACGTTCCGTAAATATCTCGCCGCCTCCGGCGCCGATAGACATCGCTTAATTCAAAGTTTTCATTCGCTACCCTGTTTAACATTCTACCAGGCGGAGGCTAGGATCGGCCGGTTAATTGGCACGCAACAGAAATTCCGCGGAGCTCGGAGCGCGTATACATACAACGCGATACAATGCGGCAAGAGGCCGTGTGCCCGGAAAGCTTCGCGATACGAACCTGAGAGGATGGTTTCTGAAGGAACGTGGCGATCCCAGCGCGCACCCTGTTTTTCACACCGCGCACAGTTCCCTTGGCACTACGTATGGCTTCCTTCTCGAGGATCTTGTAGCCTGCGAAACATTCGTCGGTGTCGTTGTCGCCGGACACCACTCCTCCGCCTCTGCTGCCGTCCTTATTGTTGCCCTTCAGTTCATTCACGTGAAACTTGTAGAACCTGTCGTACTCGTACACGTACTTCTTCCCGGTCACTGGATTCACGCTGGTGTCCACGTCGCCGGCAACCGACTCCTGCTCCAGCCTCTCCTGTTTTTGCTTCCTCTCCTCGTACGTGCACTCGTTCACCACCGGCGACGACGACGACGACGACGACGACGAGGACAACGACAGCCGGCCGTTCTGCTCTATGTTTGGATCCGGGCTCCTGATCCTCGGTGTGGAGGAAGCTTTCGACAAGGATGACGCGCCAGACGGCGAGGGAGAGACGCTGAGAGAAGTGTTCGACTCAACTTCCGTTTGTTCTTCGTTCGACGAGTCCAGTCTGTTCAGAGTCACGACGGTTTCAGTGTCGCTCGATCTCGGACGATCCGAGATCCCATTCTTCGGACGATGATTCTCCGGCGTGCGTTGTTCGTGTCGATACTCCAAGGAGGAGGACGTTCGATCGGCCTCGACCCCGTTCCCATTGACATCGTTCAACAACTCGCCACCGTTCAGAGAGTCGCAGCTGATGTTGCTCTCGTTGTCGTCGCTGTCGACTTCCGCCCCGCTGCTGGTGAGGCTGCCGGTACGATTGTGCTGATCGCTCGCGAGGATGACCGTGCTGGCGTTGTTCTTCTTCTTGGGTAGTGGCGGCGGCGTGCCGTCCAGATCGCTGCAGGTCCCGCTGTCCAACGTGTCGCTTGGCGAACACTGCCCGCTTGACATCACCATGCCGTTCAACTGGCCTGGATACCCGGTGTTGTAGTAGAAGCAAGCGCTCGAACGACTGTTCGAAGTGGACGTGTTCAGTGGCTCCGAGGTATCGCGGTGTACCATGTCTGCGGCGGAGGTGAGGTCGTCGACTGTGTTTCGACTGGCCTTGCTGTCGTCGTTGCTCTCGTTGCTGGTGCGTGCAAAAGTGTTCGAGCCAACACTGATCCTGACACAGCCGTCACCGGCACCGGCACTTCCACAACGCTGCTCGTTCACCAGATTCGTCGCACTCACGACCACACCGACGTCACGCTTGCTCGAACGTTCGCACGCGATCCCGTTCTCCTGCTTGGCTTCGTGGCCGACGTTCTCGTCCAACGTCAATCGTACGGTCGATATCACCCTCCCGTTCTTGTCACCATCCGGGTTGATCTTGATCTTTACCACGTGCGCCGCTTGCTGGTGCAGTTGCTGTTGATAATGATGACGATAATTATTATTATTATTATTATTATTATTATTACAATGGTGATGCTGCTGATGCTGCTGTTGCCCGTACTGCAGTTGTTGCTCGTTCTGCGCGGTCTGAACCGACTTCACGCTGCTCTGCTTGCCGTAGCCGTTCGCGGCCTGCACTTCCGGGATTCTTCTCCTACAGGTTGCCGCGGAATCGACGCCAGGAGCGGCCAGTCCGACAAATACCGTTGCTCCGGCCCCTGTGCTCAGAGGAGCCGTGGGGGGACTAGAAACAGCCCGGATTGACACAGTCTGTCGGGCAACCTGACTCGCGTCCCGGGGCTGAGTCTTCGCCGGCAGTGTCGGTGGAACGGTCATCGTGGCGACCTCGTCCATGTACACATTCGAGAGCACTGTCACTGGTCACCGATCGAACGATCTTTTGCTTTCTCCTCTCTCTCTCTCTCTTTTTCTTTTCCTTTCTCCGCGAGAATTTCCTAATTTCTTCACTGAAATGGGAGGGATGGCTCTTGGTCCTTGCGTGAGAAAGTGCGAGCAATTTGGGTCGAGTGTTTTCGATTGGAACAAGTTGTGAAATCACTTCGATTGAATTCAACGCGACGCGACGCGACCGCGTGAACCAGATTTACGGCGTTACGCTCGGTGTTACTGATCGACGATTCACGTCGACGACATATGGCTCAACATATGGCGCGACATGCTGCAGACTTCCGGCGGTACCACGCGCGAGATCCTCGAGAAACGTCGATCACGCTGTCCAAACCACTGTGTCGGTAGAATCTTACTCCGAAATTCTAGTCTTCCACCGAGCCGTTGCGCGAATGAAGATGAAACTCCTCTCGAACCTAATGTTCCTTGATCGTCAGTCGATCGAAATTCGTGGCGATCGGCATCTGATCGGCTGCATCTCGCCGAGGATCGTTATCACGCGGCTGTACGATCGATCGATCGCGACTACGACACTCGAGGGACTGTTTTTATTTCTCCTCTCTTCGAGTAACAATCGCGAGAAGAAGGGAAGAAGCTGAGCGAGCTGAGAAACAAATAAAGAAAGAGAAAGAATAGCCGCCACTTACTAAACCGTGTCGGTTACGTTTATCAGGAGTAACGCATGGTAGAACCCTCGAATGCTCGGCACGACGAACACGACGACAGCGGTCGACGACGGCGGATCGTTCACGGTACGGGCCGTCAGTAACTGTACTGAGTGCCTCTGACACTTACTCATGCAGTTTCGTTGGCTAGGTGGGGACCAAGTTGGGACTCGCGACGGGGCACGACGAAACGCCCGGAGTGGGGGAACACTGTGTGGTTGTCGGCGGAGTGGGGGGACGCTTGGGCCAGATGGTGAGCGTGTGTACGCGCATGCACTGGCGAGAAAGGAGAGGAATCGCGGCACAGAACGAGGGAGCGGAGGATCGCTCGAGTCATGAAGGAGGCCCTCGAGCGCGAGTGAATGAGCGAGCGAGTAAAAGACCGAACGTTCGAGACTGTGTGTGTGTGTGTATGCGGGTAGGTAAATAAATCGCTAGGTGGAACGCGCGAGTGAGCAAGCGAGCGATCGAGCGAGTGAAAGGACGAATCGACGAATAAGCGAGAAAGAGAGTTGCGGTGTCTCGAGTTAGAAGGGAGGAGAGAAGGACGACGAGAACGAGTCTTGTGGAAATTGTCTGGCACGTAAGCACTTGCTCGAGGTAGACGTGGCGTCCTCTACCGAGCCAAGTAGAATCGACTATCCGGTTTTCCATTTAAATACCTGTTCTTTACCGTTCACCGGCTTTCTCGCGTGCATGCACGTTCGTGCGAGTTTCACGTGGCAGAGTGTGCATGTGCGTGCGTGTCTGATCGGATGGATACACCTGCCGAAAATTTTCATCGACGTCGCGCGCGCGTGGGAAGATCATCCGGCGAAGCGACGATCACGTTTATAGGGATGGGGATTAAAGCGACGATAAACGAGAATAACAAGAAGCGAGTTTTATCGGTGCACGCCAGTGGGAAATGCATCGCCCGACGAGACGTATCGAGCGTGTTGCGCAACGCTTCTTCTCTTTTGTTCGCGCTCGTGTTTCACCGTGTATTAACTTGTAAGCAAGCGACCGTGTAATTACCTTTGCACGAAAGCAGAACGGTTGTAGCTCTTTGATGATAACTCGCGTCACGTCGGGGAACAATGAATGGATATGTCCCGGTGGAAGGCATTCGCGTTTTATCAACGGCCAGACTCCTACGGAGAATTCGATCGGTTCCTTTTTTTCCTCCACGCGGTAACTGCGAATTGATCTCCCCTCGCACCTGCGACATTTGTCGAGCCTCTCGGCATTCACAGTGATAATTACATTTGCCCGATTATCGATGCTCGATCGTTATTTTCACGACGTGAGTCACACTAATGCTGTGGATTGTGTTTCTGGGATAAAGAATGCTCTCCTGAAAAAGACAGCTATTTTGCATATATTTCAAAATTTATTGCAGACGTATATATTTCATACGTATATAGTGAAACGCAAAGTCTCGCGATACTCGCTAATTAACATTGCAGAATCCATCGTCAATTTCTTTTCTCTCGCAGAAATGTTCCACGAGTGCCATTCTTCTTTCGGAAGGAATTATTCACGTAGCACGTAAATGGAAAATTACGAAACGGCGTATATTTTTTCAATTCAAATATTCCTGCCTTGTTCTACATTATTTGACATACGTGCATATTCCGTTTGTACTTCGAAACAAGTGAAAAATTCCTGAAATTTCAGATATCTCTCTCTCCCTTTTTCCGCAACATTTCTCCCTTTCCCTTGGTAAATCGTGTTATGTCGAGGTTTAGGTTATAAATTATGAGGTAATAAATTACATTATTAGGTAGTTGGGTAATAAATTACGAGGGTAACAAGTGTAAGGACAAGTACAATTAATATAGAAATAACACGGCGGATAAATACGTTCGAGAGAGAGAGAGAGAGCGAACCGAAAGCGCGGAATAAATTTGCATTGCTCGAAGCTTTGCTTTACTTTGTTATCTTTAGCACTTGAACAGGTGGCTGCTCGAGAGCTGTGAACCTTGCTGGCAACCCCGCTCCCGATCTCGAGTCGGGATGAAAGAGGAGCAATCAGGTTTGGTCCAGTCTGCCGTGACCAGAAACAACTTCTGTTTCTCTCGCGAAGCCAGAAACGATCGATTCAATATACAAAGAAGGGGAGAACGATTTAGATTGAACGAGCGACGCGCAGTAACGCTGTTCAACGAGATCCAACCACTCTTATTAAAGCTCCGTTAAACAGCCTAATTATAGATTAATGTATTCCAGGTTGTTAATTCTATTTCAATCCTCAGCCGCGAATTGCTTGTTCCACATTTTTTTACGATTCGAATCAATCTTTTCAAATTGCGATTATATGAACACTGAGACAGACAAATTATACGAGTAACGATATCTCGCGCAAGTTGGCAAGTTTGTTAGTCGTTTGTTGCGTTTAATCACGTCTCCCGTATTAATCTGTTTACGAACAGAGTCATCGAAATATTTGAATTGCCGTTGTTGTTTTATTACGTTCTAGTTGATTTATTAGAAGTTTCGAACGCTCGGATCGCTCGAGCCATGTTAAACTTCGTGCCGGCGCCATTTAGAGATAGCCACGAGTAGAGAGTACCTTGTAGAGAGAGAGCCCTGTTACGGGTTCAACACGTTTTAATCTCATTTACGGAGACTCGCGGTGGCATAATGAATAAGGACCTTGGTTATCAACATTTAATCTCGTTTATTACGGACTCTGTTAGAGCGGAGCGCCGCGGACTTGTTTAAATTCGATCGATATTTTCTAATCGTCGGAATAAACTCGCCGCTCCACCTGTTTCGTAACTAACATTTCTCACGTTTGTTTGTCTCTTTTGTCACGAAATTTTAGACCGCCTGACATGCCGTACACGTTTCTACCGTAAAAGTGGCAAAATATTGAAATGGTATTGTCAATGTCGTTTATCCACTTTCTTTTTTTTTCCTCTTTAGATATTTTACAGCCTATGATTTATGCAACGAAACGTCTTACCTTGGAGAGAAAAAAGAAAGCATTCAGCTCGACGACTGTGCATCTCGTAGATCACGGTTTGATACATTCTCCGCGACAGTCGCCAGAATTTTACATTAACAAAATTAAAAAGCGTGAATCCTCCGTGTATCTGAATTATTTCTAGAAAGTAATGCTTTCACTTAGCATTTCATCAAAGGTATCAATCATTAAAGAAATAACGACCGTCGTGAAGAAGAAACGGCAGAGGCGCCGATAACGAATCTAACGTCGCGACCTACGCGTTATCCTGACACCGTTACTATTATTATCTAGGTTAATTTCACACGTTATTCTGTTGTTGTAATCCTGCTTCGCAAACTCGTTTCTTGGAGAGTATTATTCCGCAATTTATCTTTCATTCCGTTTCACCCGATAAGCAACAGTTACCTGAGAGCGAAATAACGTCATGCTAATTCACCTCGCGAACGAGGCCGCAAACGAGCGCGGATATCGTTATTCAAATGAGTAGAAATCGATCGTGCGACTGTCGCTTTTTCGAGGAAGGAAGAGTATCATCCTCGGATAGACACGAAATTCCAATGGCGTCGTGACCCTAGAACGGTACGCTCGAAATCACAGAATTACGAATCACGTATCGACTGCCGATATTCAGTCAGGATAAGGGTTGAAAGTTCACATTGTGGCACAGCTCTTTGAAAATCGAAGCGTCGATAAAGTTGGCCAAGTGCAGCCGAATGTTTCACTATTATCATCAAAATAGTAAAAATATTACCTGCAACGTGCAATTATTTGCCAGGTGAGAATTGAACCGAATTTGCCATGAGCGAGCGCGCGCGCGCGATATGATTTCGTTTCTACGATGACGTGGAAGATTTATGACAGCTGCACGTTCGCTGGAAACGACAGAAGAAAAAGGGAACGGGTGATTTGTGGTTTAGAAAATTCTCGGTACCGTAAATTTCAGTGACCTTCCTTCTATTTCCTTTTTCCCTCGCTTGGAATCACGTTTTCGTTGCGATCGCCGCTCGTTGGCGTCGATCGGTTAATCCCATAGCGTCCGACGTTTCTTTCACTCCTTATTATTTGGCCTTATTCTCCACATACCTCGCCGGGTAAACCAGTTGAGTAGCTGTTCGCCTTTCTTTCTCCGCCGCGGGAACCAGTATTCTGCATACCACTTACCACGGCACGCAATTGAATAAGCAACTTTATAAACAGTTAAAGCAACATGCAACTGGCGTGTCTAGGAAGCTATAATACGCTCGGGAATTCGTCATTTTCCGTTTTTTCACTTCTCTCGCGAATCATGATCGATTTTGCGAGATCGACGACCATGCGGCACTCTGCGAACGCGCACGGTTTTAAACGAAATGAGTTTCGAGTACGAGCATTTTCGAAATTGAGATTGAGAACAGAAAAGTTTTCACACACTTTGCGTATCCACTTTGATCATTACAAAGTACTACTTTACACGCAGAATTATTCCGCGCGAGTTGAAAAGTTAAAAAAAAAAAAAATGCAAGAGTTACTTAGCACGTTTATTACATTCTGTAATTTAATTTTCTTCTTTTTTTTTTTTCTTCGCATAATTGTCAGTGCCTGTACGTACTTACCCTATCGCTTGCGCGAGGCCGCGTTGATCAAGCCGAGTGAAACGTATTACCCAATAAATATAAAGCTTAGCTGTTGTTACATGTTCGCAAGTTATTATTATAACGCAACAATCTGAACGGAGCCAGTCGTTTTACAGAAATATCTTCGTGATAATAACTATGTACAAGATATTCTTAATCGTGCCAGAGTCGTACCCATAATTATTATCACTTGTCGCATAAATAACGCAACGTAATTTACAAACCTCGTCGGAACGCAAGGATCAAGTTTGAACCAGGTTCCCTCGAAAAGTGCGCAATGAACTCGCGCGTATTTTCGATACAAGCGACAATAAAATAATCGGAGAATCGGTTGGGACACATATTGCTATTCGCTAGCTCAGGTAACAGTTTACTCGAAGGCTGTCGTGCGTGAGAATCACGTTGCGAAGCCAGCGGCTGGGAAAAAAGAAAAAGAGACGCGAGTCGAAAAATACGAGGCGGAGAGTAAAGTATGCGAAATACGCGAAAGAACGAGGACGGTCGGCAGGTTTCTAATAAGCGTGATATATTACTTTCGCGCGAATGGCGAGTCATATTGAGATAGTCGTTTGCGAGGAGA